GGTGGGGGTGGGGGGGGGGGGGGGGGGGGGGGGGGGGGGGGGGGGGGCACTAACCACCTGTTTGTTATTGTTAACAAAATCCACTGCTGAAATCAATCTATTTGATGTATTATTTAATACTATGATGTCCGATAACGTTTTTTTAATGCTCCTTTTAGTAACATCACCTCAAGCATTTAGGCTTTGCCCTCGGGTTTGTTTGGCACATAGCCTTTTGTTGAATGCTTGATTGAACATGACATGACATTTCATTTAGTGTGCAATCCACTACACGTGAATCATTAAGCCTGTTGAGTAATAACAGCTTAAACACAGCACTTGTTCCATGAGATTTGTCTAAAATGTTGCTTTCCAATGTTTAGTGACTATCACTGGTAGGATGATCATTTTGTGCTTATTATGGCAAACTAAACAAGATGGATTGCGGACAAAGTCTCGTCCTTTTCCCCACGATTTTATTTTTGTGTAATATGACCCAACTGATTTTCACATTATCCAGCTGTGCAGTCGGAAGACACAGGACAAATCACCTGTGCCATTTAACATTGTGAATTTGAATGATTCTCTGAAGGAGTGGAACTAGCTGTTCAAAGCAAAAAAAAACTATATTTACTGCTGATGCAATACAAAAAGAAGAAGAGAAAAACAGCAGTCGCCATAATCCCACTAATGATTTTCATAACTATATCATCTCCAGTGGGGACACAGTTTATCCCTCCACCTGGACTTGTCAGCTGAAGGAATTAGGATGCCTCTGTGGTGGCCAGCAGCCGGCTAGATTGTAAATTTGAACAGATCAAGTGCATCATTTCATCAAAATAGCACAGGAGAAATCAGTCAGCCTGTTTGGCTCTCAGGATTTTATTGTGCCAATATCTTACCTGGGTGTTTACGAGGAAACTTAATGTGTCTAAATCACATACTGAGACGAAGTGCAGATGTGAGAGTGAGACTGGCTACAACAGGTTGCCTCAGTCTATTGACTGTTGGTGGCACCATCCAATAATAACATGATAATCACATTCATGCAGACATGGTGGTGGTGGTGGTGGTGGTGGTATTACAGTAACCTACAACCAACCTATCACTGTTCTCTTGCATTTGAGAGAAATCCCGCTGCTACATCACATCCTGTCGGATTCATTGACAACTATTTGATGCATGCAATCGTGTATTTGTCAAGTGCCTAATCAGTCTTTACGAAATACTTTCATGACTCTTGCAGAATGAAAACAACTCAGTTACTCTCACAGCAGGGCGCTATTACATTGTTCATGAAGCTGTCTAAAAACAAAAGCTCTGATTAGTACGAGAACTGCAAGTGCGATATTAGACTATAAATGCAATCTTTAGTGGAGGACAATTGTGACTGTGCTGAATAGTCTCTCGTGTGGAGAGGGAGACAACTTGACATACAGTATTCCAACATACATGCAGAAACACTCAGGTGTTGGATTGTCTAATTATAAAGAGATAGGCTACACACTATAAGGGCAAGTTGCTTTGAATATTTACTGGTGATATTGAGCCATAGAGATTTGAGTGCAATAAAGATGCATGTTGGAAAAATGTGATCAACTGATCTGGATTGAATGGCAGTTAAGATGGGGATGTGGGATGCGTGATCAAATCTAATCTTAAGGAGAAAGCATACAAACGCACTCGTACAGTAAAATGCAGAGACAAGTTATTTCTATGACAGACTATGCTAGGTTGGGAAAAACATACCACTATGTTAAAAATCGAAGTTATCAAGGGCTCATTTCTTACCTGGTTGTAGCACTGTGTCTCTTGGCAGATATATCTGCAGGTCTCTTTTCCTCAATCCGCGCGTCAATTAACAGACAACGTGCAGCGCTTCATGTGACGAGCGGAGTCCAGATGTTGTTCACTTTCAGCATGTTGGCCAGGCAGCGGGTTGGATCTGTCCTTGGTTCTGAAGTGTTGTCCTCATCGGCAAGTCTGTCAAACTCCACTCGGGGCTCTCCAACTCGTGTCTGCCAGTCACCGTGTGTGCAGCACGCCTACAGACCGGAGCGATACAGCCCACCGCACATGTGCGCGTGTGTCCACTCGCATCGACAGTTACGATGCGCGACGGATTCTTCTGTATGTGTCTGCCTGCTGGACTGAGAGTCAAGTGAATCTAAACGAATCTGTGATTACAATTACAATCGCTATCTATCGTGGTTTCTCTTCGGTAAGTGAATCAAATTCAACTTCAAAACAATAAGTGTTGAGGAATCCTATATAGCGCTCGTGCAGCCCCTCTCTGCAGCGCCACAGCTATAATGAGTGCAACGAGTCGACGCTGCGCTCTCGCGTCTCAGTAGCCTCACTGTGCTTCACAGCGTTTGTTTGCAGGGAAGCGAGCTACAGCATCCACATCAGGAACAACTTTTAAAAAAAAAAATAGGGAATGTAAATGTTCCGTTTGCTGTAGTCCTATGCAGGAGTGAAGAATACAAACATCTAAGTCACAAATCCTGTTCCCAGCTTCTCACGTGGTCTTTTTTTAAATGACTAATCAATTGCATTGTGGGAGCAAGCTTGTGAGGTATCTAACTTTTAATGATATATCCCCCTCCCCCCCATTTAAACATCTTTCCAAATAGACAAAGCAAGGCGCTGCAGCTCTCCAGCTAAATTTAGATAGATGAGAAAAGAGAAATGAGCAACTTTTCCCCCCTCTATGAAGGCTGGCCAGCTCCTCGTTCACCTCCATCTCATTAAAACGGAATCCCACTCCAGATGAGAGGCACAGCACTTCACAAACTCAAAGGGGGCCTTGCACGGTTTGTTTTTCACTGAAAAGGCTACAACGTCCCACACGAACAGATACAACTCCCATAGCAAACAAGTTCACATTTAATCTGCTGTTCATATGATGAAGGCATACTTGAGCTCAAGGTTGAATTACATTTTAAAAATTGCAAACAACCCTGAACTAATACGAACACAATACATATTAAAAATGTTTTTCCATCGTCCAAAAGAAGCGAGGCTAACTGTATTGATTCAGCTATTAGCTATTTAAAAGCGGTGTAGCCAGCAGTGGAAAACCTCAATGTCTCACTGGTAATTAAGGTGAACTATGCTACATGGTGCTCTGTAGCAAAGCATTCTGCGAAGACACCCTTTCATGCAACAAACTGTGCATTTTTTTCCTCTCATCCAAAACAATATTACATCAGGAACATTCCTGTTGCATAATTAGTGAGGAGTGCAGAAAAGGTCTGCTGCACCAGTTTGGGTTGTTAAGTCCAACTCCGTACCCTGTGCACAACCAGTTGCAATTAAATCTGGAAATATTCAGGAAGCAACGTAATAATGAATGCAGAATGTATTCATCTTCATCGCTCACCCGTTTCTGTCACCTTCACATACTTGAGCACCACCACCACCACACCCTCCTCTCACCTACACACATACATAACACATCTCACCGTTTTAAAATGTTTAATTTCTGCACTAACAATAGATACTTTGCAGTTAGGGGCTGGGAAAAGAAAAACTTTTTCTGTGTACAATTAAAATGACGAGTGGGTCCTGCTTGTTGCATAATTCCCTCAGCTAACACAAAGGGACCAATTTCCTCCTGAAATAGAATTGTAGTTTACATTACAATAGTTGAGGGCATGTGGGTGGAATGTAGAGTTTAGATAGCAACATGCCAATTAATGTCGAGTGAAATTATAGAGGACAGACACAAAGCGTTTCCAGCCAGTGGTCAGTGCACATCAGTCGGACTGCTGCTCTCTTTGTGGGTTTCTAATGATTCAATGTCAATGAACGATGTTAAACAAACAGTTTAAAATCATGTGGTGTTTCTGTTTTTGTTGCTGTTCACAAGTATGGAAACATACAAAAACAAACTTTGTTATAGAAATACTGCTTTCTACAAAGGAAATTGTCCCTGCTTAGATTCAACTTCCCACCCCAAAGGTTCATCCTTCAAGGATAAATCCGTTTTCAGCTTAATTTGGCTCATATTTTCATACATTGTTATGAAAATACTCTGTACTCATTAAAGTAATTGCTGGGAACAAACGAGGTCAATGTGGCAAGAAACTCGAGCAGTCAGACTATCGGATACAAGCCAAGCCTTGTAAACAAGCCAAACGTTTGGTCAGATCACTGAAACTACTCTATTTGGAGGTAAAACACAAAGTGGCTGCACTTTTAATATAAAAAAAGAATAGGCTGCCTCAACACAGGATAACTATGTGTCCACAAATACAACATGTACAGTGGGTCAAATGTAAACCCTTCAATATCCCTGCAGTCACAGATTTCAGCTATTACTTTTGTGAGTACATAAGTGACTATTGTCAACAGGAACAGTGATCCTAAACTATGACAAGTTGGAATAAAGCGGAATTACCCTTTAATTCCATAAAACAGTATCTCTACCAGCTACTGTCACACCAATGATATTTAAGTCTAGTTATGTTTAGATTCCCTGTAGCCAACAAATAATTCACAGATCAGCATCGCCTCAGCAAGTTACTACCCCACGTGTATAGGAGTGCACCCACTGCTCCCAGAGAGGTGCTATAACTACACAAACAGGCAGCACCACAGGGCCTCACTCTACTATTTAAGCACATTCATCTTGTTTAACTTTACCCTGAGGGAATTTAACCCTCTTTAGAGCCATCAGCATTTAGATTACAAATGTAAACACACACTATAGATCATCGTATTTGTAGAGCATTAGTCAGGTAACAGCTCAGCATTCTGCCAATTAGGTCTCAGCAGCAAATTCAACCAGAATAAATGAGTGAATGAGTGATGCTGTAACTGGCTTTTTTTTTTACATTTCCATGTGGAATAAGAACATACAATAGTTTAACAAGGGATTATCAAGAAAAATGACTCAAATGAGCTGTCAGGCAGCAAAAGATCTCCATTAATGGAATATAATTTTCCTCAAAGCATCAGTCTGGCTGTATAATATATGTAATGTTAGTCATTACTTAAGACTGAATAACACCCTTTACAATAGCTTTAGTTCAGATAAAAACACTCTTTTCTGCAGGTTTTCTCTCGGCTTAAACAGTCTGATCGTGAAGCCGTTGCAGGATGAGAGTTTATCTGACAATGTAATGCCACAGTTACGGTTAAGGAAAGCCTTATTGGTGTGGTTAGTTATATCAAACGCAACAGTGAAGTCAAGGACAGACATAAGCCTTTGTCTACACGTAATACCCGTTTCTGTCCAAGTGAAAATCTGTAGAATCTTAAAAGAACGCATTTTAGCTCAGAATATGCGGTTTACTTGAAACTGGCCTAGAAGGATTTTCTCACACTTGATAACACATGCACATCCCTTTGAGCTGCCTGCACCCTCTAAGTGAGCACTGCTCTCTGCGACAAGTCCGGTGCGATAAGGATGATAAAATAAAGGATATGGATATGACTGGACACACTGTCTGGGTCATTAGGGTGGTCTTTCAGGCTGCTGCTGCCATATTTATTTCAGAGGGAAAGAGAGAAAAGAATAAAAGGAGAAAAACAAACAGAAACTACAGACCATCCTGCAATGGGATCACACACCAGCAGCCATGATGCCAAATAGGGCCTTTAATTTAATCTCAGATACATACCAGTAAAGTGTTGTGATTGGATTCTGCACAGTTGTGACAAAATCTGTTTACAACTAGACAGACTGTCAGACGAATACAAACACCTGGCAAAGGCCTCTGTGGTAGTTCCCACTGCAGTTGGTGTCTCCAGAACCACATTTTGTCGTGATGACACACACGTACTCACAAGGTGAAAACTATATACCAGCCTCGCTGTTGCAGCTGGTAATTAGACTCTGCAAAGAGACAGCAGATGGGAGAAAGGCTGAGAAAGTAAAATAACACAATATGACGGCTTGAAAGAAAATGAGGAGCTGTGAATGGATGTGTGAGGAAGTAAGAAGCCAGATGTAAATAAAAGGTAGAGTAACAGAAATTTGCATTCAGTAATGGGAAATTAATATTAGTGGTCACTTGCCATGTAAGCTTTCTCCTCGACTAATCATGACAGCAGGCTGCACACGCACGCGCGCATACACACACACACACACACACACACACACACACACACACACACACACACGCACAATAACCATGTCCTAACTGAGGAGTGCTCGTGAGAACTACACGAAGAAGGTTATTATGCATTAATTCACACCTTCCTCTTTGGAAATGAAGTCAATTTTATATCAAAACATGTGCATCAGCAACAGAGCTATGTCAACGCTCAAACGCTGTGAAATACACTTAAATATTCAGTCAAATAAACAAGAACAGAACAGATCACTTTGTGAAGTCTATGTGCTTATAGTAATTGCAATGCCTTAAGTGAATGAAACAAAGGCCCTTTGTAAACAAGTAAAACAGTAAAAACTCCATGTATGTTTGTCAAACAATCCTCTAATAAACACAAGTATTGCATGTAATGGTTCAGTACAGCATATTAGACATTTCAAGTAAAATACTTTTTTCTAACATATACATCTTGCATCATTTTGACAAACATCATCACTTCTCCAAAAATGTTTCAAGAAACACAGGTTACCTGAATAAGCTTCTGCAGCTTTAAAGTTGTTTGTTTTCTGTCAGCAAAATCTAGCAGATTTTGATACTTTCACTTTAAAAAGAGGTGATTAAAAGAGTAAAGAATAAGTCTGGTTATATTTTATATTTTAGTCTTATTATCAACAGATCCAATAGAAGTGCCTGTGTAGCCAAAGCCACCTTAGACCTCCTGTTTTGTTCAATAACTTTTAGGAAAAGACATCAGTGAGACACACTGTTGCACTGGGTGACATGTTCCTTCATTACAAAGAACATGGGCTCTGTAGTTCATTTGGAGCTGGTCCTGCATACACCGTCCTGCTGCTTACTAGAGCACCAAATGAAGATGAATCCACTATCTACCCCTGTTTGTGTAACATTTGTTAAAAACTACAGTGATCAGCTGTTTTAGCTAAAAAAAAGACACCTTATATTAATGAGCCATTTTTTTTAAAGATTCTTCTACAGGGCAGGATGGGGTCTCAGGGTAGGGAAGTCTGAAAGTATTGAGAAACAGTGTTAGTTTTGGTCTTTTCATTAGATTTGTTCACAATACCAGACACATAGAATATCACCTGCCTTATCCTTTAATACCCATAGTGAGACACACTTTTATAATTTGAATTTCTCAATCTTCTCAATTTCAATCCTTTAATCTCTTTTTCTCAAGTAATGTCTCTAACTGAACTTCTACTCCTCTCCTCCAACAGCACCCCACCACTCCTGAGCCTCCGGGCTCTTCTTGTTGGAGTCTCTAGGAAGCCGCTCTTCTCTCTCTGCCTGCTGTCCACCAGTCTGCTCCCAGTCCAGCTCTTTAAACGAGGTTCCCCTGGAGCTTCTCCCTCTGTAGTTTCTACCCCCTTGATCCTAGACAGACACCGAGCGGACAGAGGACGCCGCCGGGGACGTCTCTCTGAGTCCAACAGGACAACCCCACTCCCTGAGCTGCATTCACTGTTTGAGTCTGCACCTAGAGGGGTGATAAAACAAAAGGGAGGGATGGACAGATGGTGAGAGGAGTTCTATAAACAAACACCACATGAGAAACTCACTGCCCAAAGATCCAGTGCTGGGATTCAACCAAAATCTGCATGACGGGGTTTGAGCTGCACTGTGACTTCAGCTCAGAATAACTATTATCAAAATGATTATTAAAACAGAATCATTAATTATTTGGATATCATATGCTGGGAGGAAAATATATTCATACATGTATGAATATATCTTCAAATTAATTGTCAGTATATCCATTTTTTTAAAATATGCTTTAGAGAAATTGTTAAAATAGTTCAAGGCCATAAAAAGACTGGAGTCTACAGACACGTTTTAGACTAACACGCTCACAAAGACAATGTTAACATACTAATACCATGTTCATGTTCAGTTAAGACTTTGAGCTTACAAACATTTGCTGATTAGCTTTAAACAGTACAGCCGAGGCTGCATGAGAATGTCATTAGTTATGCACATATTACGTAAAGTGCTGAATAACTTAAAGCTTTGACCTGATGATGGCACTGGATGAAAAGTCAGGGGATGACCAAAGTTATTACAATTCATCCGGAGGGAGACATACCAAATCTTATTTGATATCATCCGTCTAATAGTGGTCGAGATATTTCACTCAAAAACACAAATGTCAACCTCAAGGTGGCGCTGAAGGAAAAGTCAGGGGGGGTCCCCAAAGTCGTTGGGGACCCCTCTGACTTTTCAGCCAGTAGAATTTATCCTCTGTATACGCATCCGTGGTCCCAACTAATGTCATGGCATTCCATTCAATAGTTGTGTTGAGATATTTGTATGAAGTCTGATCAGTCTAAGACTCTAAGTGGTCGAGTGACCGACTGATAGTCCCACAGCCAGACCAACATAAAGATAACCTAAATCCATAAGAGATATTGAACCTTTACAGTGACTTCTTTGTCAGCTTTGATCCATAACTTATATGTTTACCGGACTATAGTTTTTGATGGTAAATCAAATTTAAAAAAAACTACCAAACCAGAAGACACAAGATCATGGAGATCACGTTTCTTTTTGCTAATCTTTGCTTACGTGTTTCTTATACATTTGCTTGTTTTATCTCATGCTGTACTTCACTGTTATATTTTCATTTAATGTACTTTATATCAAAATAGGAGTTTCATAAGTTGTGTAGAAATGACAAATACTTGCATCTTGCACATTCAATTCAGTTTAGGATAATACGTGAATGACGAACTAGAACATTAGTAAAACATTTAACTCCAAAAATGTGGAAGCAAGGAAATACTTGTTCTTTTCCAGGATGTAGTATATCTTGCTCGTCACATATTTTTCTGGTTGTTAGGCAACTATGGGATGCGCAACAACACCATGTGCTGCATCCTGAAGTCGGAACTCAAAATAGGCACTGAAATGTTGTTAATTGGAAAGTCTGGTACGCTAAAGGTCTTCTGCTCTCTAATTGGAGGGGTTCATAGAGGCAGCTCAACCACTTGACTCCTCTGTTTTTTAGTTTGTTCCTTGCAGGTTAAAATAAGACTAATTTCATACCTGTGTGCCATTTTGTCGACCTTTTTTTTGTCTTTGAGTGGCTGTGAGTGTTTCCACATAACCCTCTTCTCAAATCAATACATCCTTACATTAAGCCAGACTGTCATTAACTGCAGACCTGATGATGATACAGATAAGAACTAACCTTTCATATGAAAAAGGTGACAGAAGACATAAGGAGGTTAATGTCATAGGTGATATTTAATGCTACATGGTAGAGGACAGGTTGACAAACTAAACCTTCTAATCGCTGAGCATATCAGTTGAGGGACAACGTATAAAAAGCACAAAGCATCAAGCAAAGACTGCATTATAAAGTAACAAGTTATACTGTCAATCAACAAATGCATTTCCCATGAAATCTATTTAACATTTAAATATGGGCTTTCAGATCAACACTGGCTGTAACCTAAACAAAATCATACAATGATTTCAAACCATAAGATTGAACGAGGTGAAGAAAAAAAGAAAACACAGTGAAAGCTGCTGACTTGGTCAGTAACTGTGAGAAGCTCTTTAGACAGCAAAGCGAAACATTTAGTTTTATTCCTCACTAAACTTCAAAGTAAACAGAAGGACACGCTTCAGAATGTCACACGTCTGAGCTCGAGTTAGGAGACCTCCAACAAGCAAACTACAAAAAGGGGAAATTGTGTTATGAAGCAACATGCGAATAGTACAGAACATTAACCAGCCTGACATTTTAATCAGGAGCAACTCTGATAGTTTATGAGGAAATACTTTACGCTCATGTGTGCTAAGCCTGCTGCTGAGTGTGCTGTAATGCACTGAGTGAAAACAGAGAAGACATAAAGGCTCATGTTGTTGTGTCACACTTGCCCAAAATATGATATTAGAAAAGAGAGATATTGCATTGGAAATCTTTTCACGTGGACAGAATATGAGACGAAGCACACAGGCGCAGATTAGAGAATTTAATCTAATTGCATGTAAACTGCAAAGTTTATTGAGTGATACATTATTCATTCCAGACAATAACATAGCATACAGGGGACTATGACGACTTGTGGAAGGGAAGTTGTATACATGAGAAAGAAACCACAAACCATAAAAGGTGTACTCATTAGAATGAATCCCTAAATCTATCTTTGTGTAATGCATTTCAAATTCAAATGAACTCTTTGAATCAAGCCACAGGCTCTGGTTGATAATTCTAAACTCACTTCATGTGCATTTGATTGAAGAGATAAATGAAATAAAACATTAGAAATATGCATAGTGAGCGCCGATAGAGGAAGGAGTTTGGTCTTGTGTTGGCTTTCCCCTGCTGGTTGAACGCCTAAAGCAAGCAGCAACATTTAATCAGTCAGTGGGGAAGAAAAGTCCCATTTGTATTGGAAGACACACTTTAGGAATAACATCTTAATCTTTAAAGGAAAAAAGCTGTCGCTGCATTTGATCGGAGGGGTCGAGTGGTGCCTTCAGGCATCGGTCTCTGCACCTGAGTGACAGCTGATGAGACGGAGAAAGATGCTGCAGAATTATAGCAGGTTTAATGTGCAAACTTACTTTACAGAAAGATAATCAGCATATTAAGGCTTAAACACACGACTAACTAAGAGAGCTTTTGAGGAATAGTTTGACATTTTGGCTGAGAGCATAGTGATTAGGAGTTTAAAAGTTTAGAAATCGGCCAACCAGCACTTTCAAAGCGCACTAATTACCATGTTATCATCAATTGGTCAGTGTCTGACTGTTGCCTGGCAACCTCACGGTGAGTACAACACTGCACCGGGCGAATAAATATCAACAGCATGTTTCTCTCCGTAAAACATCAAGTGGTCATTTCTATATTTCTGTTTGTGTGCAGATAACATAAACAAAGTATAACATGTCAATTAGTGAGCTGTAGCAGGCAGATGTTTGAGTGTGACGAGCTGTTGAGGTGAGCTTGGTGGCTCCAGCTTGATAAGAGATTAGTAATGATATTCTCATCTAACTCGAAAAAACAAACAAGGGCATTTTTTTAAAACGTCGAACTATTCCTTGAGAGGAAAATGTTTAAATACTGTGAAATTGAAATGGTCGACATTCAGAGAACTGAAAGACTCGCAATATCATCAGGAAGACTTGTGACATGACTTGGACTTGTGATTTTACATTGACTAGCCCCATGAGGCAACTAACAAAGACTTTTGGTTGTGGTTCCTAGACTGCTGTCTGACAGAGCGAGGAGGCCGGGGGTCGATCCAGTCACTGAGACGGGGTCGGTGGTGGAGCGGATGGTGTGGGCTGAGCTGAGGGGAAACTGGACCAAAGACGCCTCCAGTGTCCCGAATGCTCCGCTGGTGTGGTTTAGTTGATCCCAGTGTGACAGGAGCACGGCTGCCTCTCACATTATCATTCACAGTCATGTGACCCAAATGTCATTCCCACTCTGCATTCACCCATGACACATTGTCAACAACTCTCAGTTTAAATCTGTTGTGCAGCAAAGAGTGGAGATCCAAATATACTTTTGGGGTATTGTTTCCTGTGGAGATGTGACACTAGGTGTGAGGGTTTAGACAAATATATTATAAGTAACTAATTAATGTAACACCTGTTGAGGCAACTGAGTCGCTTTTTCGTGCAAAATCATTTACTTTCAATTCAAAGGCGATTATTGATGAAGAATTGCCCTCAACTACTTTTGGAGAGGCAACAGTTACAGAGAAATTAAAGTTAGGGGAAAGGTTTATCCAAAATATAAGTTGAATGTGGACACGGAGCACCCTGAATAAATGCAGCATTGTGCACTATGCTCCTCAGTGCAGACACCAAACAGTGGAGGCTCACACACTCTTGACTCTCCAACAGTTGTTTTGTACTCTCTGAGTCTGTACTTTATTTTAGAGACGTTGAAATCAACTGTATCTCTTAAGTGATACTTAGTGTCGCTAATTCATTTTTGTTTATTAGATATTGGGCTATATGTATAAAATTGACTTGAATTATTTGAAACCTTATATTTGTAAACAACCCATGCTATCTGGCTTCATGTTAAAAATGAAATTCATACTGTAACATGTGGTCTCCTGTGTGTTTTGCTTGATTTATGTGGGTTTCTTCTGTGTATTTGTGTCTTTTAAGTTTCAGCTGGGCTATATATAGATTGTTATATGGTCAGCTTGTATTGAATTGTACTGAACTGAACAATATGGCCTCTGCCACAAAGCTGTAGCAATTTGGCGTTGTTGTCATCAATTCCCACTCCATGTCGACTCATGATTAGGCTCGCTTCATCTCGCATCAACCAGGATTTACTCTTGAAAACATTTGTTCACAAGCTTTTATGTCCCTCTCTTATCGTCGTGTGTGAGGATAAATTAGTGTCAAGTGGAAATTCTTTGAACCTAAGTTTTCCACATGGTGTCTGTGTAGCTGTGGACAGCCCCTTGGTGGCTGTGTATGGCAGCACGCGTCCACCAGAAGCTGTTGTGTCTATGCTTTTCATTAACACCTAGGAAGGTGTCAATCACGGTTTGCTTCTGCAGGGCTGCTCATAAACAAAACAGCACGGAAACAAGGTCCAGCTCCCCTGGGTGCCACCCGAGCGGCAACTCCCACAGCCAAATGCTGAGCCAAAACACAGGAGCAGTGACACGGCATTCAAAAACGTATAGCTGACTGTAATGAACTAACGGAGGCAACTTTCCTCCTAAAATAATACGTCAAAAGCTTTTTAGATACAATATTATGGTATTAAAACCGATTCCACTTCTCTGAAATGTGTCTTGTGGCTATTAGAACGCTTAAAGAAGCACTAATCAATATTTTTATAGCAATAATGAGTCAAATGACTATGAAGTAGGAGCGTTTGCACCATCTCTGATTCACAAAAGATATGGGGCTAATGATATTACCCATCAAATTTTGCTGTTTGTTTTTTTTTGCATGTTGCAAAGTATACAAGCACTTGAGGTCAATGCGTCGGTTGTGAGAGGGTCTTGCCAGAGGAACCTCGAGGCAATTAAGAGAGAGGAAGGGGGAAATATAAGCCCAGGATTTGTGAGGGAAGAAATCATTTGTTTATCCGTTTATATAAAAACATTATTTTTTTATTCATCTTTTTCTTGTTTTTCCTTTCTCTTGTATTTTCAAAAAACGACATGTAGGGGAGCTTTATTCAGGTATTTTTCATGACACAACTGTCATTGCATCGTGTCATTGCATCGTGTCACTGCGTCCCAAAATAAACGAGTTTGAGCAAACACCTCTTATAAATGTGCTTCAGTTAACACCAACTCTCTGAAGACGCTAATCATTTCACTGTAACTGTGTGTGGCTAATAGCACAGATCTTTGTGAATCGGACTGTTTGTACAATGAGGCTCTTTTGCATAGAAACAGACTCATTTTGCGCCGAATAAAGGCATATTTCCTAATTAAAATACGTGCCAGTAGCACAGGAGCGCCAAGAAGCTATTTGCTTGGCAGCACAGGGGTGCATTTCAGAATTATGAGGTTTCTTTTTGGGGTAATTTCTGCAGGTTTAGTGGCTGCAAAAGCCACGCATCCTTCTGTGAATTCGCCCATAAGTGTAATGTAAAATAATCACCTGACTGTATTTTCCCTCAGCTCTACTGAGAGTTTTGGTGCCCGCCCATTGTACAGTACCAGCTCAGCACTGCAGACAGAGAAAGTTAATAACTAGCTGGAGAACATGCTGTAGCGTTTAGCTGCTAAAGACACTGATAGTTCACTCGACAGCAGAAACAGAGCTGAAAAGAGACTGAATAATGGACTTCAGTTTGTCAGGAGGCCAAAAACATGGCTCCAAATCACTGCTGATGTTGCTCAACATCTGCTGCATGTGTAGGCAACTGTTTGCTAACACATTTACCATATCAACATACAGTGTTATAATAATGGTTATGTAGGGATACTAAATGCTGTCATTTCCCATCAGTATGACTGGCGAGCCTCCGGTCCTGTGCAGCTTAACAGGGCTTTGAAACCCACAAGGTTCAAATACGAAACATGTATGTGCTTATGCGTTACAGCATGAAATAGGCCTACACGAACCTGAGACTTCGGAGTCACTCTGCAAATCCTCTTGTTCCAACAGCTTCCTTTCTGCCTTTCGGACTTCAGGCACATAGAAATCTCCCTGCCGGGCCAAGGGGGCCATGAACTGGATCAGACCCTCTCTGTAGATCTCAAGGAACGGGTGAGCACACAGCCTCTTTTCCTGGGAGAGATCATTTAAGTTGGAGAGAATAAAAAGCAAGTTGAGGATTTACAACAAATACAAGTATACAACATTACCATATGCGTTTTCTTCAATGTTTGGGTGTTTAGCAGCTTGACCAGCCAGATGGTTTGTTACACAGAACCGTCTGATAAGCCGCATTTGTAAATGGGGAGACACTTTCAAACGTGTCATTTCAAATGTGGGAACGTCACCGCTCCACCCCCTGAACTATCATCAATCTATTTCTCCTGTCTTCACATCACACATGTGATGCAACACATCTGTCTTCATTAATGTTCAGCCTCCACACGCTACCCTGCCTCTGTTTAAAATGCTGCTCTTCTTCTGTTACTTGCCTCACTCTTCTAGAAGTGGGGAAGTCTCGCATGACAGACACCACTCCACTTCTCCGACTCATTAACCTTTCATACACCATGTTTTGTCATTCCGCTCATGCACATCCGACGTCTGTTACTTTCGCCCTTTGGGCATTATGCTAAATGTCGAGCAATACTAGAAACACATTGCAGCCACAGTGCAGCATCTCAATGGGATAAATTAGGTGATTTGTTTATATTTCCTCAAATTGATGTCAGTTTTCATTAGTACTTGTTTAATTTGACTAAGTGTAACTTATTTGTTGCTGTTTGATGCAATTTAACAAATAAATGAACTTGATGTTGGTTATCGGATGTGATATTCTGCATCAGACTAAACCACAAGCAATATTATCTTCTTATGGTTAAAGGTCAAAGGATTCAGAGCGCGTCATGACAGAGACCACAGCATTTGGTCTGGTTTAAACTAATGCCACTGATTCTACAGAGGGGCGCCATTTTGACCAACAAAACAAATGCATATTGTGTCCATTACTGTCATCCAGGTGAGCTTTAGACTGGTGAGTTTAAATGTCTGGATGTATTAGGACTATGCTCGTCTTGCTACTGTTCATTTTCTGAAAGCTTTTGAGATCAATTTGAAATGTATACTTGAGTCAAATGCATTGTGAATAAAATGCATTTCTGTTTAAAGTGGTATCAATGTTCAATAACGTTGCAAACTTCCCCGCAGTGCAACAAATAAAGGATTATCTCATTTTATCTTAACATTATTCAAACTGAAATGCATTTCTGTTTATCTCTATGAGACAGGTCTGAAGTATATAGTTTGAATAGTTTTAGATAAATACTATTAATGGCATCTAATGGTTGAAATGGTAGTAGCATATGTTTAAGCGGTGTAACGATTAAGAGGAGGTTCTTGGAAAATGTTCTCCCCTGTAAAGGGTCCCTTGCCCCAAAAGGTTTGAGAACCCTTACTTAAAAGAGGGTGTGGCCTGTGTACGTTAAATTGAGCATAGAAGCGTGGTATTATGATGATGAAGACCTCTGTATTCACACATTGCACCGTTCCTTCATCGCCAAACCCTGTGTTTCATCACCGGCTTGAACTATATTAGCCGAAGTACGCAGACCATCAATCATTTCTTACACTATGGCAAATTCATGTCATCTCTCCAAGAGTTGAAACCGCTCAGATTACGTCTGTTTCTCGTCAGACCCCGGGAGTACGGAGTCCCTGTGCCCCTTGCTGCTGTTCCAGTTTCAGGTAGGTGAGCGTTTAGAGGAACAACAGGAACGTCGCACGCAAAGGATCTCATAATCAGGCTCGCAGCCTGAACAGACACACATAAGATACATTCTTTATAGGAGACAGCTGACTTCTTTTTAAACTTCAGCCTATCATTTCGCTCACCATCTGTCTCTTAGCCCAATTACAACAGCGCTGACGTTCCTCTCACTGTCGTCTGCAGGAACAACGTTGTCAGTTTCGGTGATTTCAGCAGCATCAATAATTGGTGCACTTTTCCTTCAGGAACATCTGTGTATCCTCATTGGCTTGCTTCATCAGCTACTGCTACATATTGCATATTGATGCGCACACATGCATGCCGACATACACACACAAGTTTAATTTTGCAGTTCAGACCATCAATAAATGATCAAGTGTGAAAATGAAGCCTATCGCAGACACACTGTCGGTACAACAGCTACATAGAGGGGTTCAGCATTAATATTTAACTGGCAAATCCTGATTTGAATGTTTTTTTGCTTTACTTTACAGAGTAAAATGGATGCACATTCAATTTGATTTGGTTAGTTGGTTCTTAAAGTTGCACAACAAAGGATTGGAGAGTAACTGATAAATACTGTAGGGCTACTGCAGAACAAGATGTGCCAAATGAGAGTAGACTCAACAGTCTAATGACACACTTAAAAGAGCCAAGAACAAAAGCATTATGTAAAAGAAGGGCTTTTAAAGCCCTGCATGTACACTGAAAGGACAATAATAAAATATCTCAGTAGAAATTAACATATAGTACCTAACAGAGGGAGGGGCTCTTTTATACAAATCCTGGACTCTTTGCAGGAGGGAAGCCTGGACAGGATGAAGAAAGTGGGCATCTGTTTGCTTCACAACATCCCGTTAGGATTTAGTGATGTTTTGATCTGATGTTTCAAGAGGCCACATAAGATGTCCACATTTCTAATGGAATTCATAACAAGAGTTTGGATTTGCCTTGCAGTGTTTTTTAGTTCCTGGCCCTATAGGTCTAATGTCATCAGGACATTATTATTTACAATGGAAACATTGTGACAAAATTGTGTTTATAATGGAAATGAACATCAGGTCCTGCAAAATGTCCCCATGATCCTCAGCAATTATGTGAAGGTGCAGAGCAACAATGGGACCTAAAATGAATCCTTCAAGATGGCAAAAGACACTGAAAAAAACAGATTCTGGCTTTCTCAAAATGTAAACAAAACCTGTAGTAGGACAAAACAACTCATCGGGGCCTACTGCTCAGCCACCCATGTCTTGTTCAATTTAATTCAATTCATTTCAATAGCTCAATATCTGTCTCAGATGGCTTTACAATCTGTACAGCATGAAAAAACTCCCTAAAAAACCCTGCTTGTGCTATTGTAACTTGAATATACGTACGCCATTCGGTTGCCCCCTCATTGCTCTGTGATACTTAATTTGTTGATGCAGTCCAGCTTACATTTTCATGATTTTAGAAAACACTTTCCTTTCCACAGTAAATCGTTTTCTGATTTGTGACTCAAGCATCTATAATTTTAGTTTTCTTGGCGTCTTATTTTACTTAAAAAAAAACAAAAAAAACATGCATTCTTGTAGAAAGCCCTTCAGGCTTCTGCTCAAAACTGAATGAATCATCATCTGTGGATCTGGTTTTATAACAGAATATTTCAAGGTTTTAAAGCATTTTTTCCTTTATGTTGCATAGTTTATTTGCCCAACGACTGAACAGCCACTCAAATGAATCCCACCTCAAATGAATTCCCTCTAAAAACAGAAATTAGAAGCTGCATTAGCACATTCAAGTTTTGAATGTTCTTTTCATTACAGGTGCAATATATACGAGATTGGGAGCATTTTGATTGCCTGTCAACGCCTCTTCACGTGGTGGAAGCGAGCCGGCGGCTCACAGCTAACGATAATAACAGTGTTAACAGTGCAAACAAAGGCTACAGTGCTGACAGAGCTGGCGGCGTTTACCTGAGGGGGAACTGTAGAGTGGGTACTCTGCTTCCACGACAAAAATGCTACTTGCTTGTGAATGGAGAGGAACACAATGTGCATTTTTGTAGAACATATGTACGGTATAGAGCTTTTCTAGTCTTCTGACCACCAGAACTATCTAATCATTCATACATTCACGCACCGCACAATTACACATCGACATGGACTAACGGAGCATCGAACAGACGATCCTTTGATTGAAGGACGACCCTGCTCTACCACTGAGCCAGTTGCTCGATGAGAAGATTGACAGAAAATTAATTGTCATTTTTCATGCAAAAAATGCCAAAAAAATGTCTCAACCACAAAGGATTTGCTGCTTTTATGTGATAGCAAAATGACTATCTTTCAGTTTCGAACCATTGATCAGAGAAAGCAAGTGTTTAGGAGTCGTCATGTTAGGCTTTAGGAATTTGTGATGGTTAAAAAAAAAAAACTGTGATTATTTTCTGACATTTTATACACATTAATTTAGGAAATAATTATCAGATTAATAGATAAATAAAAAATGTGTTGCAGCCCTACAGTGTTTTATTTATTTATTTTGTAAGACCTGAGAACGTCTATATTTTGTGTGCACCCACACATGGAGTATATGCCACTATACAATCACTTACAATCACTGCTAGGTGAGTTAAACAGCAACCTAACCCAGTGAGCCTAGATATATACGCTGAGGTCAGTTTCTCTGTGTCCTGTAAACAGAACAACTAGGACAGAGGGCAGGCAAATAATTAGACCCACAGTGGAATAGCTGAGACAAACTGTGCACGGTAGACTTCTGTAAAGGGGATTGAGGACAGTGTAGATTTTTCTCTGTATTTTCCTCCTGCAGTATCAGGGCCTCGGAAGACCTGGGCAGCACTTAAGGCAGTCCAGAGTAACGGGGTCATAGTAAGGTCATTTCTGTCTTCACATCCTCCACGCCATAGAAATGTCAATATATTATTTTGTTTCTCAGGCATGAAAACATTATTACACTGTAGCATTATTAAGGGAATAGACATGGGATCAGAACATGATCTCACCTTTCTTAAATCGTTCAAAAGTTGAGAAAAAAAGAGTCCGAATTGAATTCTTTGCTGCATGTCGCCGTTTGCTTGTTACCTAGTTTCAGACCTCACTGAAGTCTACTGTTGCAAACCACGACTGGAAAAGCATCAATCACAAGCAAGTAAATAAGACAATTCTGTCCATCACCATCAATGCGTTTCAAAATATGGAGGAGAAGAGCAGTAACCCACCCTCAGTCTACAGAAGGATCTTCAGGACACATCAGTCTGTGCCACTGCCGTTCCATGGGGAACCATTCAAAGGTACCATGCATGGAAGCTCAGCTAATGGGTGAGAGCTTAGCTATTGAGCTAACTCTCACGTCACAGTTAAAT